TGCCGCGGGATATGAATCTAGCAGACAGCATAGGCTGCCTAGCAGACAGTACAGGCTGTCTACAATACATCAGTATAACCTGATAGTGCTTGGATGGGGCGATAAAGTGATATGTGACTTATGTCTTTCCTCCCTCTCTCTCTCTGTCCTCGGTATATCACCACTGCTGCAACCAAATGTAAGATAAAATTTTGTTCAGATTTTTAACCCGGGAGGGCTAGCCACCCAGGATAACGCAAGAAAGTCAGTGTGTCATCGAAGACTGTGTCTTATTTCCATTGGGGTCCTTCAATCTTGTCCCCCAGGATGCGACCTACTTGCTAGGTGAACGGAGACGGCTGGGATGGAAATACTGGGTGTAAGGAAACACCCACTATTTCCATCCGGCCAGAGATTGAACCACGGACACTCAGTGTGTGAGGCGAGAGAGTCGCCTACTAGGCCACGGATGGTTTTTACCGTTGTTTCGAAATATCCATGTTCTTCGTGGTAACTTTTGGTATGGTTGGCAGAATGGTTGGTAAATAGACTTGGAGACGAATTATACGTTTATTGGGTAAATGGTACACAGCAGGATGGCTCATGTTAGCCCTACGCCGAGGCCGTAGGCATCCGAAAGAGTAGGAGGATATGTCCGGCTTCTCCAGTGACTTGAGTTAGTGAGGGTGAAACAACGTTTGTTTCGCTGAACTTTAGACTGAACTAGGCTCACCAGGTGGCAACAACAATGGCTAGGCTAGCAAGGCGCAAAGAACAAGGTCTGACTGGAGTTACCCACCATCGTTATCCCACCACTACAAACATCACCACCACTACACCATCACCACCACCACTACACCATCACCACCACCACTACACCATCACCACCACCACTACACCATCACCACCACCACTACACCATCACCACCACTACACCATCACCACCACCACTACACCATCACCACCACCACTACACCATCACCACCACTACACCATCACCACCACCACCACCACCACTGCTACTGTCAACACCATTACATCTACTATAACCACCACCGACCCCATCAACTCAGTTACCACAACCAAAGCTTTCCTCCCGCCCTTCATCAGCACCTCCCACACGAATATATTGGTCAGGTGGCTTGGGGCAAGCGTTGGTGATTGGCAGGTGGTACTGGACAATAATGTGAGGCGGTGGGCAATGATGTGAGGCGGTGGGTAATGATGTGAGGCGGTGAGCAATGATGTGAGGGGGTGGGCAATGATGTGAGGCGGTGGGCAATGATGTGAGGCGGTGAGCAACAGCAGTTGGTTGTGAGTGTTACCAGGCGGTGATGGACAAAACGGGTGGTGGTGGTGGTGGATGAGGAAAGGAAGATGCGATGCAGCGATGAGAAGCAGCAGGTTAGGCTTTTTGAAGGGATAGGTTGGCGAGGTGGTGTAGGGCATTGGGCTGGGAAAAATGAAGTCTACAGCACTCATCCACCTAGCCATCAATGGTTGAGCGTTGTTGCACACTATGTGCACAGCACACACCACACGTCACTCTGGGGAGACCTTTCTCTGGAGGAAGTCGTAAATGGATTGCGATACCGGGGTACGAATTATCTGGGAGCACTTCCTCGGCACAGGTTAAAATCTAACTCGATATCCCCCCCCCAAAAAAATATAAAGGCGGCAAGCCTTGCAGGTATCCCTGGTAGTTGCACACTACCAAGCTACACTGGTATCTGGGATCCCTTCAGTTTTGAATGTGTTAGGAATATTTCTCTCTCTCTCAACAGTGACATAAACTAGCCTTCGCTCACGTTCTGGGCAACCATCTAAATATTTCATTGTTTGACTCACACATTTAGAGTATACAGTATAAGGCATTCAAATTTATTTCAAACCTGATATTCATTTCTGGTGAAATATTTAGACAGAGGCTTAAAGCTTGAGCTCATAGGAAGGTTTGCATCACTGTCTAGAGAGAAATAAATCCTGACTCATTTAAACTCAGCCGATCAAAATTCAACGATCTTCGTTACCCTAGGTGCTGTATTTCTAGGCGAGGAGCTGAGACGAGGGTTTGAACAGATTAAAAGATTAAATGTTTATGAAAAATACTTTTGCTTTTCAAGCTTGAAAAAAAAATGAACGCCGTGTTCTTGCTGTAGCCACGAGCCAAACTGTGAAATATTTAGGCAGGTTTTCTCCGGCCTTGTGAGATGCTGAAGGTAGGTTATAATGCAATTACATCTGATTTCAAGGTTTAATGTTTTACTGTGCACAAAATTTTTTCTATAAATAAATAATTGCACTATCAGATAATTGGTACTGTTTCAGTTGGTGTAGTAATAGTAGGTGTATTTATAGTGGTAGTTGTAGTGCGTGTAGTAGTAGTGGGTGTATTTATAGTGGGTGTAGTTGTAGTGCGTGTAGTAGTAGTAGTAGTGATAATAGGTGTGTTGCAGAGGGGTGTAGCAGAAGTATAAGTGGAATGAGCGTAGAATTAGTGGGTAAAGTTAATGTGTCTAGTTGTAGAGAACAGTCATAAAGGGGTGTACTTGTAATGGGTGTAGTTGTATTGGGTGTACTTGTAATGGGTGTAGTTGTATTGGGTGTACTTGTAATGGGTGTAGTTGTATTGGGTGTACTTGTAATGGGTGTAGTTGTATTGCGTGTACTTGTAATGGGTGTAGTTGTAATGGTGTGTAGTTGTAATGGGTGTAGTTGTAATGGGTGTAGTTGTGATGGGTGTAGTTGTATTGGGTGTACTTGTAATGGGTGTAGTTGTAATGGGTGTAATGTCTTGGGTGTAGTTGTAATGGGTGTAGTTGTAATAGGTGTAGTTGTAATGGGTGTAGTGTAATCGGGTGTAGTTGTAATGGGGTGTAGTTGTAATGGATGTAGTTGTAATGGGTGTAGTTGTGATGGGTGTAGTTGTGATGGGTGTAGTGTAATGGATGTAGGTGCTGAGATCATAGCAAGATGTGTGGATGAAAGTTCATCTGTGTGTGTGTGTGGACTTGGGTTGACTGTGTGAGTTGACTGGGTGAGTTGACTGTGTGAGTTGACTGTGTGAGTTGACTGGGTGAGTGGGTTTTGAAGAGACTGTGTACATGGATGTGTAAATAAATTTGTGGTTGGGTATGATTTGAGTGAACTAATACTCGTAGTTTATACTGTGTTGTGCGGGAAATTTTTGCAATGTAAAGGATGTTAGTTTGTCAGAGTTGACGAGTACAAATGAGAGGGAAGGAATGGTGAGACACCATATAGATCAAGATCCCTCTGAACACACTTTAAGACACTTGTTGAGAACACGTTTCGCCTCAAGTGGCTACTTCAGTCCTAATACAAAACTAAAGTTCTCCGTAGTAGGGCTGAAGAAGACACTCGGGGGGCGAGACGTTTCCTCATTAAACGTCTTGAATTGTGTAGAAGTGTCTTTACCTACATGCGTAACGAGTACAGTTTGGTCTTTGCAGTTGAGTATTCTGGGTGGTAATTATTTTTTTTATGTGTAGGTAGCGTAGTTTGGACAAAAAAAAGTGATTGATGAACATCTCTCGTCTTTAAATAAAAGTTTTTCTGAACTGTCCTGTGTGTTGCGTTTTACGATTTTTTTTTTTTTGGCAAATCTTAACTTGTTTCTTTTTTTCTTCTCTTTCCACACCTCTTCGATGCCCCGATGGTTGCTACTGCCCCGATGGTTGCTACTGCCCCGATGATTGCTACTGCCCCGATGGTCGACACTCCCCCGATGGCTGACGTTCCCCCGATGGTGTCACTGCCCCGATGGTTGCCACTGCCCCTGTGAATTCTGCTGTAATGACTGTCACTGCCTTTTTTTGGCTGCCATGGCTGCAATTGCGACTGCTATTGCTCTGGTGACTGCTACTACCCTGTTCTGGTGACTGCTGTTGCTCTGGTGACTGCTGCTACCCTGGTGACTGCTACTACCCTGGTGACTGCTGCTGTTCTGATTACTGCTACTGCTTTGGTGACTGCTACTGCTCTGGTGACTGCTACTGCTTTGGTGACTGCTACTGCTATGGTGACTGCTACTACTCTGGTGACTGCTACTACCCTGGTGACTGCTACTGTTCTGGTGACTGCTACTTTGGTGACTGCTACTGCTTTGGTGACTGCTACTACTCTGGTGACTGCTACTGTTCTGGTGACTGCTACTACTCTGGTGATTGCTACTACTCTGGTGACTGCTACTACCCTGGTGACTGCTACTGTTCTGGTGACTGCTACTGCTTTGGTGACTGCTACTACTATGGTGACTGCTACTACTCTGGTGACTGCTACTACCCTGGTGACTGCTACTGTTCTGGTGACTGCTACTGCTTTGGTGACTCCTACTGCTCTGGTGACTGCTACTACTCTGGTGACTGCTACTGCTCTGGTAACTGCTACTACTCTGGTGACTGCTACTGCTCTGGTGACTGCTACTGCTCTGGTGATTGCTACTGCCCTGGTGACTTCTACTGCTCTGGTGACTGTTGCTACTGCTCTGATGACTACTACTATTCTGGTGACTGCTATTACCCTGGTGACTGCTGCTACCCTGGTGACTGCTACTGCTCTGTTGACTGCTGCTACTGCTCTGGTAACTGATACTGCCCCGGTGACCGACACTGCGTTTATGGCTGCCACTTCCGCAATTGCTGCCACTGCCACGATGGCTGCCACTACCACGATTGCTGCCATTCCCACGATGGCTGCCACTGCCACGATGACTGCCACTGCTACGATGACTGCCACTGCCTTCATGGCTGCCACCGCCACGATGGCTGCCACTGCCACGATGACTGCCACTGCTACGATGACCACCACTACCACGATGGCTGCTACTGCCACGATGACTGCCACTGCTACGATGACCACCACTATCACGATGGCTGCTACTGCCACGATGACCGTCACTGCCACGATGACCGTCACTGCCACGATGGCTGCTACTGCCGGCCCATGGTTCTCCAACATCATAACTACGGCCACAACAAATCCCTACTACGCCATTACAGGGAATTACAGCTGCTTAAAAGTAGATCTTGAATTCAGCCGCGATGATGCTTTTTATTTCAGTACTGTATTCTTCCCCGGCATCGTCCTGGTAACGAGTTCCTTCATAACTTTCTGGCTGGAGTGGAACGCCGTCCCTGCCAGAGTCATGATCGGTGTCACCACAATGCTCAACTTTTTCACCACCTCTAACAGTTTCCGCTCCACTCTGCCTGTCGTCTCCAACCTGAGCGCCATGAACGTTTGGGACAGCGTGTGTATGTTCTTCATCTACGTATCGCTGTTAGAATTCGTCGTAGTTAACTACGTAGGCCGCAAAAGACCTAAGCACAACATGGCCTACATGCCTGGAGAAAACGCGGTCATCCAGGTATTAACAGAGAACAAACATGTAAGCATTAATGTTAATGTCATCTTCCTTTTTTTCACAGCTGCTTATGCATTACCCTTTTTTTTTATCTTATTTTTATCTTTTCGGCGCCAAGCTTGTGGGAATTTTGCAAGCTCCTTTTAATTACCAAGCGCCCAAGTTACCCTGGAGCTCACGTAATGAAGTGACGTCAGCAGTAGTACACATATCAGTTCTTTTAGATGCTGTGTGATATTGTTAATGTAATAACCTCTTTTGGATACACAGGTCTGCTATTTTTTTTTATTTCAGTCTGAGTTACTGGTAATGTTTCTTTTTTTGCCAGAATATTTTTGCTGTTTAATCCAAGTCCTATTAACATGTCTTGCAGTGTTTATCTTGCATTTTCTACTTGTTTATCTTTGAATGTTTGAATAAGAGGACGCTTGCCACGAGCACTGAATGTTATAACCGAATCAGTGCAGTTGAAAGCACCGCCATATAGCAGTAGTAAACATTTGACACTTGTACTGGAATCTTACATTGACCAGGTGATGCCTGCTCTCTCTTGACTTATCTTATTAATGTCACAATTTTCTCTAGCTTCTTGCCTGATGCCTAGGCCGGCTGTGTGACGTTGTTGGCTTTATAGTAAAGGCTCCATAACTAATGTTTGTCATGGGTAGTATGTTAATAAGTACGTATCGTTTGGTGTATACTTGCACCTGTGACGCCATTTTCTCTATAATCTCAAATTTTCTGCTGTTATTTGTAAATATTATAACAAACTGTAGTCTAGAACGTTCTTTGTAGTCAGTGAATAGTACATTTCACAGAGTACAAACGTATCGTCTCCCACCCTCACCCTCGTAAGAGTACATATTATGATTCTGTGGAGATCAAATTTCTAGACATTAAGTATATCAACATTGTGCTGCTAGCATATTCTATACGATAGATGCATTATGGGAACAGAAAATAGATATATTTCCCGGTCATACTGCATCATGCAGAATGGAGGTTTGTATATCAGGTAAAGAAATTTGTCAGCCTGAGTTGAGACTCACCCTTGTCTATGCTAGTTCAGCACCTCCCTCCACCCACCTGTTTCTTGAAAATACTGTGGCAGTAACAACATCATGTTGACGACAATGCATTCATGTCAGTTTGTTTATTAAGATAAATAAACATGGAGATAGGAAAAGATGCATCCTGCATTCTTACTAATATAATGTGACGTACGTATTTACAAGTGGCAACAAGTAAATATATATATATATATAATTTTTTGCCACTTGTAAGTGCATACGTCATATTATATTAGTAAGAATGATGAATGCATCTTTTTCTATCTAGGTGGGTACCCTGATGCTGGTCAAAGGGGCTTGTATCAAAGACCTGGAGCTACTCTTTAACCTGATTACCACCCACCCCTAGGTATTTTTTTTACCCATAAGGCTGTATTGCTTTAATATTAATAATAATATAAATAATAATAATATAAATATACTAGTCTTACGAATGATTTTTAAGTTTTCTAAATCAAACTTAAGCAAAAAAAAATTTACATGATATGTTATCATTCATGACCATCATAAATTCCTTCTGGTCAGAGATATTACCATCAGTGAAGCGCAGAGTATTTCTGTTTACTCGCAGTCTTATGACAGGGCGAAAAAAAACAGGGCGAATATATGAAAGTTTCACAGTACGGAAAACTATTCTGGACTGTTACTTTGTATTCGGAGGCTGTGTTGTGCTTCAGCCACTAACCTCTGATATAAGTTCGCCTCTCAGCACCAGTTCGTAATGCTTTACGCTACCTGTCATTGCTATGTGTTACTCATGGCGCACCGGTGTCATGGAACACCGCCATTATGCATGATGCAGGTCACTCCAGCCACACAATTTCAAGAATTAAAATCTTGTACATACCTTTATGTACTCCTTATAAATACTGTGTTCCCTCTTCAAGGCTGCATCTGACGGATACATCGATGCAGTTTAACCACTGATGAATTAAAAATCAGGTATAATCATTTTAATCTATGATTTGAGCTCCATTCAAGGATTTTCTGTCATTATTTTTACTAGAAATATCTTTATTGGCTAAGTCGTTACGTTAGGTTACTAATCTTCTTTTAAAGACACAAACGCTAATCTGAAAGAAAACTGCTATATCAGTTTAACATTATAACATGGAGATTATTATTATTATTATTATTATTATTATTATTATTATTATTATTATTATTATTATTATTATTATTATTATTATAAGATTATTGTAAGATTATTATTATTATTATTATTATTATTATTATTATTATTATTATTATTATTATTATTATTATTATTATTATTATTGTAAGATTATTATTTTTATTATTATGGTGAAACGCTAAATTAGTTGGCGTTTTACTGGTTCTATCTAAGGAAGAGAAAAGCAGGTCCGGTTCTTTGGATCAAATGACGAGAAAAGGAGGTCCAGTTCTTGGGATCAAGAGCCTCTCATCGCCATCATATCACTTTTCTCAAGAGCTCTAACACGAAGACTTGGTTAAAATATTCACACTAGTGATGGTAACAGTGGGAATCACTCTCCTTCAAGAAGCAACAATGTATATATGCTTTACTGTTATGTAACTACGATGTTCACAATCCTGCTTCTATTACTCTTTACACTTAGCCTTATGTACAAGCCACTCTTCCTGACCTTCAACAACGTCCCGCCACTTCTTATGCAAACACACCTCCTTTGCTAATTAATTCAATTCTTCACTATCCTTGCCATTATAGCACCATCGCCGTAGACGTGCGTCTCTTTGTCGTTAAACGAGGTGTGGCGCCGCCACACCGCCCGAACCTTTGACGCTCTTTTCGACCAGTCACGCTGAGTAGAAACCACACAACGCCTTTGCTGCTGAGTCTATCCCTGGCTCTTTCTCTTTAGCTATAGCCTTTCCACTCCCCATCTGTTCTTCACCTATCCCCTCTTCCTCATCACCCCTTGTAGGTCCTTACCTATGGGTTCTCCTAGTTCTAGTTACAGTACGTCTTCACACATATAACGGGTCAACTAAATGATTACGACACTTGTCAGGAGACAATGTTTTGTCTCCTAATGGATAAAACAACAATAGTATGCACCTTAGTATACGAGTCGTCGACAGAGGGCAGCATTTCTCTCAGTGCACATAGGCTGAGAGTTTACTTAAATCTATTATAAGGCTAAAAGTATTCTTGTCTGGTGTCTAGTTGATAAGCTTTAAACCTTATTAACCACCCAACCAACCATCAGCAGATTTTTGCTGACTTGACGTTTTACTCATTTTCTCTAGTAACTTCATCAGTGTTTTATTAGTTACAATCATATATAGAACAAAATCTCCCTGATCACCTTTGTAACTTTTAACACAATAGAAATTTCTATTTTTCATCTTATTTTTCTTAGGCAAAAGCCAATAATTTAACCCTGAGTTAAATATGGTGAATCCCAGTATTCCGCTTTGCCTTTATTCTCTAATATTAATTCATATATATCTTCTCTAAGTAATTACATGATTCGTTACATGGTCAGTTAAACTGAAACTTCCTCTTCCAAAATATAAATGAAATTTCAGACCACCATGAATATAACAATACTAAGAATGAATTATCAGCTAGACAGAATCGCCGTGTCATTTGTCATAAATAAATAATTTATTCTTTGTAACATGTGATGCTGTATAGTGGAATGCACGCATTTATCACAATGAGTTTTTTATAATTTTTTCGGAATTCTGTTATTAAAAAAAACTAGACAAGTTGTGAGTTTCTGATCTTATTGTGTTGCTGCGTTGTACAATGTTGTTATTCAACTACACTCAACTTACACCTCTGTTCTTTCTCCATTTTGAGCAATGTACTTCAAAAGTTTTCTCATCCAGTACGGTTCTCCAATTTATTTTATTTAAAGCTATATCCTTTTTTTTATTATTATTATATCTTAGCGTTAGTGTTTTTGAGATTTCACTATATATTTTTGTACATCAAAATCTTCATCAGTTTATCTCTACTTTTCCTAACTGCTTACATTCGTTTAACTGTTACTCTAAGACAGTTTTATCCCCATTTCTTTCTGCATTTATTGTTTCTGGCCTTTTCTATTTTCCTGGACTTTAATTTTCTTTATAGCCTACCTTACTAATAGTTACATATTTGCAGTTTTTGTTTCCTTAATTCACTGATATTTTTAAATATTTCCAACTCTATAATAATTGTAAGTATTATTGTTCGATTTTTTTTAATTTTTGCCACTTTTCTATTCTACGTGTTCTGTATTTTACATATTTTGTGTTGTTTCGTTGTTCGGTGTTTTATTTCAAAATATTGTAAAAAAATAAAATATTAACTGCTTTGCGTCTCTACAGTTTCCTTCCTTAAAATGTGGTTAATTCAATGCATTTATTGTTCTCGCTCCTGAGTTGGGCATGCAACTTGGCAGGTTTAAGTTGATGTGCGGCTTATTTTAGGCCTAGTGTGTCTCTTTTGTATGACTCATTTACCATAGATTTTTATAGTTCTACCTCTTCCGTTTGCCTTTTCATGTATTTCCTGCATTTTGCATGAATTTTCTGCATTATGATGTTCCTAAATTGACTATTTTCCTTGCAAAATTATCTGTATAGACACACATCTTTCTGAAAAACATAAAATGAACGATATCTTGAATGTTAAGACTTGAAGTAATTGAAGATGATCTGAATTTGATACCTGAGCTGTTCTGTCACTGGTGGTGCTATAATAAGCTACTCTATATCATTGACAGTGTCAGTGATACAGCAATCGTCAACTTCTTAAAAGTAGACAGAGGAGTTTTCAGTAAAAGGAATAATGTGAAATTAGCTAATAGTCACCCATGAAGTGTGACTCTTTCAATATGTATACAACTAGAATGTTCTTTTAACTTTTTCTTACGCACTGGAGTAACCTTCATATTAGTGGCTATGCTGATCGCATCCTTAATTATCCTAGTGTAGTTGGTAGATCTTAAATCAAGTGCCGATCAAATTTGCTTATGAAAAGCATGAAATTTTTAAGAAAAGGGCCCCACATGGGCTAATGCCAGCCTCACCCTTAAACTGTTGGTAGTGTGCCCCCCTCCCCCCAAAAAAACAAAAGACACGTAATGTCTTAATCGGTAGTTTATATTGAGTTTTTTAACTTATTTTTTTAAACACAATTTTGAGAAAAAGTTTCGCCAGAAGTGGCGTCTAGTTATAATAGCTTTCGTAGTTACTAGTGAGTGGGTAATGCTTTAGTAGTTACTTATGAGTGGTGTTTACTAGTGAGTGGGTAATGCCTTAGTGTTTAGTGAGTGGGTAATGCCTGTTTACTAGTGAGTGGATAATACCTTAGTGTTTAGTGAGTGGGTAATGCCTGTTTACTAGTGAGTGGGTAATCAAACATGTGAAACATCTGGTTAACCTTGAAGATGACAATATACCTGCAGACATGTATACCAATAAAGAGTGGTGAGTGAAGTGCAGATCATCAGTGTGTAGATGTAACATCAAGTGAGCGGAGCTGAGGTAGAGCTCGTGCGAGGGTGACCAAGGAGGGTGATCAGCATTCTAGCAGTGGCTGAGGTTCCACCTATATGTCAACAACTGTCACTGATTGTCGGCTCAAACCCCTCGCTAGCATGTACTCGAAGTGCCAGCTCTTTTTCCATAATCTGTTATGCTGTATGCTGATATGTTTTTAAATGGTTCTGTTATAATTCTTCTTAAGCGTCAATAATACTTGTAATTTATTATATATGATGATATATTGTTGCATCTTATTCTTTCTTCCTCCTAATGATGTTTGTTTTACTCTATTCCAGCGCATCCCGCAGGCCATACACCGAATTGGCCTCAGTTTGGTAAGCGGCTGGGTAGGTTCAGGTTAATATGTGGCCTACTGGCTGCCTATTGTGGCCTAGTGTGGCCCTGGTGTGGACTTGTGACGTGTTGTAAGCGGCACCCTCCCTTCCACCCGCCCCGCCCTCCCACCAGCGTCCAGTCTAATCAACGTGGCACTTACGGCACAACTACCTTAAACGGCTGCCTCCTGTCTAACTCCCTCACCCTTAACTGCCTATACTCCATACTGATTCTACTTTCTTTCTCAGCCACAGCTACCTATACCCCAAACTAACCTTACTTTCTCCCTCCCTTATTATTATTATTATTATTATTATTATTATATATATATATATATATATATATATATATTATATATATATATATATATATATATATATATATATATACATATATACATATATACATATATATATATATATATATATATATATATATATATATATATATGTGTGTGTGTGTGTGTGTGTGTGTGTGTGTGTGTGTGTGTGTGTGTGTGTGTGTGTGTGTGTGTGTGTGTGTGTGTGTGTGTGTGTGTGTGTCGTGCCGAATAGGGAAAAATTGATCAATTAGCAAGGATTCATTTAAAATTAATTTCTTTCTAAAATTTTCTCTTATACGTTTAAAGATATACTTTTTCATTTATGTTAATGTAAAAATTAATAATTTTGTACCAAAAGAACCATAGAAAACTTACCTAACCTTATTATAAGAAGCATAATTTAATTTAGCCTAATCCCACTAAATATATTTGAGATAAGTTTACAATAATTTAATAATAAATAAACACAATGAAAAATATTTCTTTCGTTAGGTTTAGAATGATTTTTGCGAAATTATTTCATACACAAATTTTCGCTTGTCTTATTCGACAAGTAGAGCGTTGCTATTTAAGCCAAAATAGCAAGTTCTACCTATTCGGCACGACATATATTATATATATATATATATATATATATATATATATATAATATATATATATATATATATATATATATATATATTTTTATATATATATATATATATATATATATATATATATATATATATATATATATATATATATATATATGTATATATATATATATATAACTTATTTTCTGATGTATCGCGGCCCCTCACTCATCTTCAACTCTTCCTTGTCTTGGGCACTTCTCAAGAGATCCTCTATTATCTTAGCCTCTTCTTTTCTACGGCTTTTCGGTCACCTTCACTTCTCTAACATCTGAGTGGATAACTACCACTAATAACCATGTACAGTTCTGCTAACCATTATAGTTTTTGAGCAGTTAATGAGATTCATTAACTGTTCAATCACTGCACTGCAATGACTGACTGTGCAGTCACTAGCTTAATTTCGCTGTATATTGTCGGATTTATTGGCTTCAACTAAAACTGATCAGCTTTTGTAAATATTTAACTGTTTAAGTAATTACTTAATTCTTAACTTTTGGCTTGATGATTTTCGGCTATTCACTCTTGGAACTTTTTCTTTTCACTACTATCTGTTATCAATGTGAGGCTGAAACGAATTATAAGTGACCGTTCACTGTGTTATAATATGACTATCCAGCCGTTCTTTTGGTGACAAGTATAATGAATAAGCTTTTCAACCATTTTTTTCTTATTATCAAACTTACCGATTATTAATGCGATGACCGAACTATTCAACCATTGTTGTGATGACTAAACTCTGAAAAATGGTTCAATCACCGAACTATAGAATTTTTATGCTTCAGCTCTACAACCAATGATGAAATGACCTACTCATTCACAAATGTCATAAATTATTTAACCAATCACTATCCATTACGCTAGTAACTAAACAGTTTTTGTTTAGAGAGTTCTAAAGACAGCAATATATCTCACTCCCAGCTCCTCATGCTCTTCCTCAGTACCTGCATTTCGTACTCAGGTCTTGTAAACACATTAGACAATAATTCATCAACATCTCTTTCCATTTCCAAGTCTCATTTACTTTCTTTGCGAGTATAATTTTAGGTCTTTTCGTAAACTATGAAACCATATCTGAATATTGTAAGTTTACAACATCTCTAAACTTGTGGTGGTGACACTATCTTTTATGGCCAGTCCTATCTGTATCCTTCGTCCTTACCTCACCTTAAAAGCTTTCCCATTCAACTCACCTAAACCAGCCTCATCCTACCACTCCTTATTCTGCTACATCTCTTCCTCCTATTACATTCCTTCCATATTGAAGGTACACATTCTTTCCTCTTATGAAGCTTCCCTTCGTTTACTTCGAAAGAACACCTCTTTCTATCTTCATATCTTTTGCAGTATTATCTTCTTGATCTGACCCTTGTTCTTCGCACCCTCTCCTTCTCTCTTTCCCTTAGACCCAATTCTTCACTCCTCTTCAGACCTGCTTTTATTTCTTAGTCTGTAGCGTTACGTTGGGCTAGGCTGCATCATTAGGGCTGTGAATGCGTGTTGTCACTCAATGGTTTCCCTACGCCATTGTCTCCTTCTCACTTGTTGTTTTCCCTTTTCTCTCAGGTATAGGATACAAGCGTGTTGTGAGAAAGTCATCGCAGGTTAGAATGAATCGTAGCATAAAATGATCTTCATAATTACTAACTGCTTTAGTTAATGGGCACAAATTAAAATAAAAAGTAGAGGCTTGGTTGTTGGCAAGTATCATACCCGGGCCATTGTGTGCAAATTTTTCTCACTCTACCCAGCGTGGCTTTCCTGATTTAGTTAGTGTTGCAGCGCTTTAATGTATAGCACGAGGAGGAGAGGACTGGCGTACTGCCGACAGTAGTGAAGAAAAGACACGAGGTAGCACAAGCTTGTACTGCGACTAAAGTTTGGCTCTAAGCAGTGCTAAACGTAGTCCCAATAAAAGCTTGTTCTGCAACGTGTATCTTTTCTTCACTAATATAGTTAAAAGCTTAGTAGAGTCGCAGGAAGATTTCAAGTAGATGTGAGACTAAGGGTTCCCATGATAAGTGAACTCGTATTAAGCTATAATACAAAGAAGTTCTTTGTACGTTAGAAATTAAAGTTATTGATATTTACAATAAATTTGCTTGTAATGCTATCATTAGAATACTTATCAATTAGAATCAACAGAAGATACCTTAAAATAATTTTAATTCATTAAGTTTAAAAAGGGGAATAGAGTTTAATAAAAAAACACTGTGCAGTCTTATTTTAAACATAAATGATATTTACATATTTATTTAATCTTGGCTCTTATAGAAGGTTAATCTATATTTTTTGTGACAACTTTAATCGAGAACGATCAGTCATTCACGAATCATGAGCAGTGCTGGAAATATCTATATAATAAACGTGTTTTGGCAACTTAATATGCTTGTCTTCCGATAATTCAATATTAATAATATATAAGAACTTAACATCATTACAATAGTAACCTATTTGTCATCTAAAATATGGACTTCTATACGTCTTATTAATTTAATTAAATATCCTTAATTTACCACTGAGTTCCATCTTATGATAACCAAGAATTAATGTTGATGCCTCATTGCTATCATGAGTGAAACTAAGAAATACCAGCAGTTGAAACGAAGATTATTATTGATGTCTCAAACAATATTCTCATTCACAAGTTCTGACACCTAGCCCAAGGTAGCAAGTACGCCATTACACCTTTATGCCCCTCCAAGCAGCAGCCTGCCCCCAGTGCCCCTACATTAGGCTTACATCGCTACTCACCATTCCGGCTTCTTGGCAAGAGTTTGGAGATCTTATTTCTAAAGGTTCTTGGATCGAAGTATAGGTACGCAAACTGAATCTCAAGCGAGTACTCTAGATAGGCTCCGATTTCATTTGCTTTCTTAAAAACTAGTGATTTTTTCTCTTTATTTTAGGGGGAATTCCATCTTAGTTTTTCTTAGGTTTAATATATATAAAATTTGGATATAGACGCATCATTTTTTATAAAAGTAGTTTTGTGGTGGATCATGCCATGCCAGTGTCGACACAAACTCTTCAAATAACTGACCTCCTACATGTGTTAAGGGTTTTAACAACAGAACTTTGATTGTGACGTTTGTACACCATTATTCATACATAATAAAATTAAACTTTGGTTATCTAGACAACTGAAAGTTAAGATAAACTTGCGAATGATGGTAATTTTTTATTATTCTTATTCTTATTAAAATGTTTTTATTACTTACGTATAATATATAATATATATATATATATATAATATATATATATATATATATATAATATATTATATATATATATATATATATATATATATATATATATATATATTATATATATATATATATAATTTATATATAATATATATATATATATTATATATATATATATATATATATATATATATATATATAATATATATTATATATATATATATATATATATATATATATATATATATAAATATATATAGAATAACATATGGAATAGGATTAGGATATATCATCGAGTTCATCCTGATCTGTATATGTAATATTATTATATATCCTAAATATATATCTAATATCTATGTGATACTTATTTAAAACATAATACATTTAAAATATACTGGATAAAAATTAAATATACATTAGGGAGATCCTACATCTGAACTGGATTGGGATCCCGTCGTCCCTCATGCTGAGGTTCTACCCTCTGGATCGCTTAATATTTCTGGTCTCTGAAAGAATCCCTTTATATCTATATTCTGTGAACTTTATCTTAGAGAAACTAGAGTACATTTCAAAAATTACGGTGGGGAATAGAACAACTTAAATAACATCTCAGAGCCTACATCTCGAACACTTTGTCCAGCTCCCCGGCGGTGGGCCGCGTGCCCAGAATGCTGCAGGCATTTACCCTCTGGATCGCAACACTGAGTCTCTGAAAGAGGAAGTTGGCCGCTCTATGATCCTTAGTTTCTGTGACGAGCTTTAGACCCAGCTCTTTGAGGAACTTTAGAGCACACTTGTCCCAAGCTCCAAGGGCCTACAAACCCTACTGGGATAAAATTATAGCAAGAGGG